ACAGGCTCCGGACGTGCAGGCTCAGCGGCCATGGCTCACAGGCCTAGCTGCTCCGCGGCATGTGGGATCTTCCCGGACTGGGGCACGAACCCGTGTCCCCTACATCGGCAGGCGGACTCTCAACCACTGCGCCACCAGGGAAGCCCTTCCCACCCTTTTTAACCAGACTTGGATTCACAAGCCTTGGATCCCACCTTTAGCGCAGCCACCAACTTACTCTGTGATTGGGATGTTTTCAACCTCTCTTCACCTGGAAAAAGGGATAAGAACCCATTTCACAGGAATGTAGGAAGGCGAAAACAAAACAATGTATGGGCGAGTACTCTGAAAGCTGAAAGGCCAAATATAAACATAGATGTTATTATTTCCTAAGAGCCTGAATGTACTCAATCTTTTGTTTCTAACTTCAAGCATGGGAGAAAGATTTCTGTTTTCTTTTGTGCCTAAATTGAACAAAAGGTACAAACCATCTCACTTTGACTTTTCTCCTACTTCAAGCATTTGGCTTGAAGAAAGCCTTTTGTCAGCAAGCTGCCAACCCATAGAGTTGAAAGGAAAGCCAGACTGCACTCCAAGTCTGGCGAGTAGAGGTGGAGAAAACAGAGAAGAGTGCTGGAACTTTCCTGGTCTCCAGCAAAAGACTGAGCAGGACTGCAGAGGTAACTGTATTCACACAACCGGTTACAGACCCTGCAGGGAACCGGATTTGGCTTACAACTGAACAACAGTGAGGCATGGCTTGACTCTTCTTAAAGCCAACCTATGAGAGGGTCTCAACTGTGGAGGTAGAAATTACACAGGCTTTGTCCCAAGCATAAGAGATGACGTGTGAAGCGTCCTCCCAGCTGGGGAACTGGTCCCCATGAAGTTTCCTCTGCCTGGAGCACATCGTTTCTCTTAGCCTTGTCCTTTCCTAAGGAGGTCTTTCTTAGGGAGACCTTTCCAGCTGACACCCCCACCCCAGTCCAGACCCCATCCAGCGTAAAAACTCAGAGCCCCTGTATTTCTCCTTTATAATCATTGATCTTCGCCTGGAATTAGTGATTCATTAATTTGACTGATTAGCAGTCTGTTTTTCTCTCTCCCCTCCCCCCAGCAAGCTCCCTGAAAACAGGGAACCCTTTGATTTCATAGTGTCACTAGAACAGAGCAGAATGCCCAGTTCAGAGTGGGCCCTCAATAAATATTTATTAAATGAGTGATGAAAGAAATACGATTTGAAGAGAACTTCAAAGCAGAATATTTCAGATCACAGATCATTTCTAGGTAGACCCATTTATGCAAATATACACTATTTATCATAAAACCCTCAATTTACTGTTGCACAGGGAGACCATACTGCAAGTTGAGGGAGACCGTAAAATGAGCAGGCAAGTTAGTAGGAAGGAAAAATGCTGCACACCCGAAAAGGGGGTTATTAGAGACTGGATGGTTTACAAGGTCCTAACTGCCCACGTTTAGACCTTAAGGAGGGACGAGAACAGGGCAGAGCTATTGCTTCCCAGGTTTAAAGGCATGAACTCCCAGTCAGCAGACATCAGAGAGAAACTCCCTTCTGCACCAGGCACCATGTGACAGAACAGAAAGTTGCATGATGGGGCCACCCACTCTTTCTCAAGCTATCAGGACAGCTTCCAGATGCACAGGTGAAACAGCAGCCAGTTTGGTTGTGTTCTGTTTACTTTCTTCTGTTCTAAAATGTTGAAAAGTATAGCTCATTAGGCATTCATTCACAGGAATGTAAATAACAAGGAAGATACATTTTTCAAAAAATATTCTTCAGGGCTTCCCTGGTGGCGCAGTGGTTGAGCGTCCGCCTGCTGATGCAGAGTGACACAGGTTCGTGCCCCAGTCCGGAAAGATCCCGCATGCCGCGGAGCAGCTGGGCCCATGAGCCATGGCCGCTGAGCCTGCGCGTCCGGAGCCTGTGCTCCGCAACGGGAGAGGCCACAACAGTGAGAGGCCCGCGTACCTCACACACACACAAAAAAACATTCCTCAAGCACCACAGCAAGATAAAGCAATTAATTGTTCTTAATTTTTATCAAGCTGTACTCCAAGCGACCATGCTTTTTGGATAAAAGTCAGTCCCCATCCCCCTTCCATCTGTTTTTTTTACTCTTGCACACACTTATTTACACACAATTTAGTGCCAATTTTCAACAAAATAAGGTTTCTTTTTAATTTTTACATTGTGATCTTCCTATATCTTTCAATTATTCTATGGAACATAGAATTAAATACCATCTTCCTCACTAAGTGGCTTGAATTTATGACTTCCTGAGAGCTAACACATTTATTTTTGTGTTAAACAAATATAAACAATAAGGACGCTGAGTAGTGAATATCATGTCTTTTCTGGGGCCTTTAAGGCTATAGAGTTTCTCTTCTTTCCTTCAAAAGGTTGTACACAATAAATTACATTGCAAATAAAAATGAATTAAGTGAGACTGAGAGATCAGAGAAGAAATAAAGAGGCGCCAGTTTCTGTAGAGGGTCTTTAATGGATGATGCTTTGGGACGACCAATTTGGAAAGAAAAAAAATCAAATAAAAATCCATTCCATACTCATTTTGCAGACCTCATCCTTTTCTTTGTTTTCATATAAATAACTCTGCCAATGTTTTATTTTATATAAGATCTATACTGTTTTTCTACTGTGTCCTAATGGTCTGCAAACAAATTCTAACTCTCTTCAAATTTCTGTTTAGAAATTATACAAATTAAATGCTGTTTGTTAAGTAACTTCAAAATAACAATAAGCAGGACACTTTCACTTATGCATCATCAACTGTACAACTTCCCCTTTACTTTCGCCATTGCTCCTACTATGACTAGCAGAAATCCTAAAAGATCAGACAATAAAAACCCAAAGAGGTCTTCACATTTTTTTCAATTTCATACTCAAAGTCCATCTCAATCTGTGAACTGCTTTCATCTTTGAGACTGTTTGAAACCCATTAATTTTATTCCTCCTTTGGGAAAGTAAGAACAAGCCATGATCGCAGAGGAAACTGCCATTTCTTTCCCTCTGTGGAATCTCCTTTACTGTACTCCATTTAGCAGTGGCTAGGACTGCAGACCTGGGTTTATTCCATGCTCGGGAGGAATCATTTATTTCTCCATAATGCTGAGCACCTAGCAGAGTTCCTTGAATATAGAAAACGTTCAATGCAAATTTGGCAAAAGAATGGGTGAATGAAAGAATAATACAATTTTCATTGTTTTAAAATGCATCATTTCCACCCTGTTATCTTACTACAGTTTGAAACCCCTTGTCAGTCAGTCTTTACAAAATAGCTTTTAGGCCTCCCTACAGAGAAACAGATGATGGCACAGAGAAATATTGTGGCTTTAGGAGAGCTTAGAAAGAAGGACCTGTGCTCAACTAAGCTTCACGTGAAGTAGTTTTGTCTGAGTGACACTTTGGAGATTCTCCAGGAGGAGGAAGGATTATTTTGGAGTGTGAGGCAAAGTCAGAAACTCCCAGCAGCAGAAATATTTCAAATGTTTTCATTCAGGCGGGGCAATGACCTGTCTAAATCAAACCAGCACCCCTAACCTTGTTCCATAAGGCTATTAGGGAAATACAGTGTGACTTCCTCTGAGAGAAATCTTTGCCTTTAACCTGACCTACCGTTGAGCCTTGTGTGTCTCTATATCATTCCTTTGCTTTTATTTTTTTCTCTCTGTGACTATGGAATTTCTCATTTGGTCAAGTGTTTAAGGGGTGAGGGAATTAATAAATCCTAATCCTACAAAGATGACTGTTTCAGTCTGCCTTAATAAAAGCAAAGTTTCCTGGTGCTCTAAGGCCACCACCCAGCAGATGCGCCTGTGTCAGGGACCGCGTAACTGCCGTCCCTCCCACGTGTGCCAAGGAGCTTAACCACAGAGCGGTGACTACTTGCCTCCATGTGCTAAATGGGAGCACAGATTCCCTTTAAGGCAAACTTTGCAAACAAGAGTAACCTTGAAAAAGACCCTTTAGATGCAGATCAATGCTCAGGAACGTTGCCAACCACTTACACTCCCCTTTGACACTTCACAGATGTGTTACTTACGCTGGAGAAGAGGCCTCCTTCTACCCCAAACCCAAATCCCTGCTGTCCCTTGAGCTCAGTGGGGGCTTGTCGGATGAGCCCCTGGGGAAATATGCACACCTTCTCTCCTTCGTCAACTCGGGTCACTTTGGCGGAGTCCTCCCTGCCCCTCTGGGAATACTTCCGTGGTGTTGTGACCTTAGCCTCTCCGGAGAATTCTCTATCTGTTCTGGAGGTCTCCTGTGGGTACCGGATTTCAGCCCCCTGGATCTGCCTGAAAGCAGAACCACCCGGCGGTCTCCAACCCCCCCAAGCTCTGGGACTGCTGCGGGGCTGCGCTAGCCATTAATGGCCATCATCCATTTTTAATCAGAAAGATCACAAGAAGGATGGTAAGCGAATCCCAGTCGCAAGTCAATTTAAATAACATTCCTGGGGAAATCCAATCACTTAAAACTGAAACACCTACGCGAGCAAGAGCCCCCGCCCGAGTGGCGGGGAAGAGCGAGACGGCCGACTTAATCAAGATCAGGGGGCTCCCAGGCTTAGCGCAGAGCGTTAACCCTTCCAGCCCCGGAGGGTGCCAAGGGGGGCTTGGAAGAGCGCGGCCGGCCGGGGCCAAGATGCCCACGGCAGCGCCACGCAGGCTGCCCCTGCCATCTTGGGCGGTTCCGGACGCCCTGCGCCCGGCCTGGGCGGCTGGGCGCGCGGGGTTAAGGTCAGAAGCTCAGGAGGCTGTTCAGGCGCGGGAAGCGGCCGCCTCCCGCAGCCTCGGCGCGCCTTGGGCTCCTCCTTCCGCCCAAGCGTGGCCAAGTGAGGACTGCTTCGGCCGCAGGTAGCAGAGGCAAGGGAGGCGGCGCGCGGGACCCGAGCGGAGCGCCCGGGGAGGGACTGACGGACACGCGGACTGACGGATACCCCCGCGCCCCCGGACCTTAGTAACGGTACGCGCGGGCCATGTGGGGACCCGGGGTCACGGCCGAGGGCCTGTCGGTGGCGCCGGCGCCGCCACCGCTGCTGCTGCTGCTGCTACTGCTGGCGCTGGCGCTGGTGGCGCCCTCGCGGGGCGGCGGGGGCTGCGCGGAGCTGGCGTGCGGCGAGCGGGAGCGCTGCTGCGACGCGGCCAACGCCACCGCGGTGCGCTGCTGCAAGCTGCCGCTGCACGCTTTCCTCGACAACGTGGGCTGGTTCGTCCGCAAGCTCTCCGGGCTACTCATCCTGCTGGTGCTCTTCGCCATCGGCTACTTCTTGCAGCGCATCATTTGCCCCAGCCCACGCAGGTACCCGCGCGGGCAGGCGCGGCCGGGGCCACCGGGGGGCGCCGGGCAGCCGGGGGCCGCGGGGCCGCCCGACGACGACGACGACGACTCGCCCGCGCTGCTGCGGGACGAGGCGGCCGCCGGCTCTCAAGACTCGCTGCTGGACAGTGGAGGCGGTGGCCGGGGCCGGGCAGGCGGCGGGCGCTTGGCCCCTTCCTGCGCCTCGGAGCACGAGCTGCGCGTAGTCTCGCCGGTCTTCCTGCAGCTGCCCAGCTACGAGGAGGTCAAGTACCTGCCAACCTACGAGGAGTCCATGCGGCTGCAGCAGTTCAGTCCCGGGGAGGTCGTGTTGCCCGTGTCGGTGCTCGGCCGCCCGCGAGGTGGAGGCGCCGGGGAGTCCGACGGCGGCGCCGAGCGCCGCTTCCCGCTCATCTGAGCGCCCGGGGCCTTGCGAGGACCACGCGGACAGAACCAGGCCGGGGGCTACGGGTGGGACGCAAGGCCGGGGTGGCCGCGGCCGCCGCCGCCAGTTGCCTCAGACCCCGCCTGTCGCCCGGAGACTGGGTTGGGGCCATCCCCACCCCCGCCTCCCCCGGGATGTTAAGTTTCCCTACGTTTCATTCGGTTCAAGGAAACGTTAGGCAAGCGCGGCGGGGGCGACAGCAGCAGACGAGGCCAGAGCGCAACTTTGGAGAACGTCCCCGCCCTAAGCCTCGCCTCGGCTTGAGTTCACTTGTAAGTGCCTGCTTCCCGAATCAGAGAACATATGAGCTTCGGGGGAAGGGCAGTAACCTTTAGGGATGAAGCGAGAGGGACGCAGTTGCACTCCTTTCCCTCTCGCCTGGACAGGTCAAGGTCTCCCAGCATGGGCGGAGGGCGAGGAGGTGAGCCATGACTGGAGACTGATGCGCGCGGGTCTGGGAGAGCAGCACCTAGGTATGGTCGAATCCCTCCCTTGCGGAGAACCCAAGAAAACCCTTCCGTGTCTTCCTGGCCAAGCACAGTCACAGTTCACAGATTGGTGGGGGGAGAGCCGTGATATCCGGTTAGTTGCCGTACTTATGCAGCAATTACGCGTATCCAGGACCATACTCGTAATAAGGTACAGTTGAACTTTTGATTTTTCAATAACTGAGAAGATATTTATATTTATTTGTCCTTTATTTTTATATTTTTACCATGTATTAAATAAACGCATTCGGAGGGTATCTCCACAGTTAATGACAAGATAATCATCTTAGCACCTTTTTTAGGCCTTAATGGCCCAGAAATTGTCTACACTGTATCATTACTGTTTAATAAAATGTTGGACATTATTTCATTTACAATGGGAAAAAGAAGAGGCATGGTCAAACGAGAAAACATATGTGATTAAAAACATGAAGGATACCTTATTTTCACTATTTAAGAAGAATATATTTTATTTTTAGTACTGTGGCATAATATATAACTTTTTATAATAACCATACATTATGTATGTAGTCAAGGTCATAGTTATATGTAAAAAGCATTGATACATGTATGCCATACCACGAAGCATGATGTCACGCACTTTTCCCTCCATTTTCCATTTGGAATACACTTCACAACATTATGCGAAGAATAATTTGTTGTGACTTGTGACTTTTGTTTAAAGCCATAATTGTGCAGTAAGGTACTACAGAAGGATTCAACCTATCTAAAGAAAAAAACGTGTCGTTGTATCAGTTCTACCATTCTGTGAAATGTCCTTTAAGCAAATGGTAATATAAAGTAATATATTAAAATGCATTATGTATAATGTACATATGCATATCGTCTGTGTACAGTAAACACATTGTATATCATATAATTATTCCAGTTTGTGATTATCAAGAAAGAAAAAGAAGGAAAACAAATACAAAAGGTCTCTCTTGGGGAAGGATGAGTATTACACTGAGAAAAATTACACAGTGGACCTCACACGTGTATCTAGACAAGTTGTTCTTATGATTGAAAAGTTCTGACAATCCTGAGAAATCTTAAAATATCTGAATTGTATTAGAAGAAAATGATTTGATTACTTTAAACTTTTTAAAGCTGATTGAAAAAGCCTGACAGTTCTAAGAAATCTTAAGATGTCTGAATTGTAAGAGAAGAGAATGGTTTACTCTAAACTTCTAAAAGCTAATGACCCTGTCATTAAAGAGAACCATTTGAAGTGTATTAAAACAGAAAACATTAAAATCTTTCTCTGTGCAAACTGTATTAGATGTGTGACTATATGGTAATGTATTAAAATATGAAATGTGTGTCTTTATCATTTAAAAGCAATTTTAAGCTGTGAATTGGCGAAAGCATCAGCAGTTGAGACTATATCAACTTTTTTGAGAATGGTACAGGATTTAATGAAATCACATTATATTGAATAATCACAAATGTTAATGTTACTCAAACACTACATTTTAATTACATGTGGCTGTCAGTACCACCCACTGTTCAGACAAACCGGAAGGTTGCCTTATTCCTTTAAATGATTTATTCTTTGAGGGTACACTGTTTTAGACACTTTTAAAAACTCACCCATATCTGAAACATCTAACTGAATATCCAAGTACCAGTATATAAAGTATATCCTCTATGTTGTTACTACCAACATCTAGAAGTGTACAACAAAATCTTGTGAAAATACACTTAAAATATGAACCAAGATGTTTTCCTTGTACCAGCTATGGAACACTTCTCTCCCTAAAATTCAGAATGTCTATAATGTGACACCAATCATGCAATGGAATTCTACTAAATTTTAAAGTTACAACAAGTTTTACACTTGTTTTTTTCCTACACATCACACAAGCTTTTATTCACATCCCCCAGTTCAATAAAAAATGAGTTTACTTTGGTTTTTTCCTTATAATTCATTGATTTACCAAGCATGATTCTGTTCAGGCATAATTTTGTCGGGGGGGCGGAATCCTGAAAAGCTATTTTTATTAGTGATAAATTAACATATCTCAGGGCAATACACACACATATGTAACATACCATATTAATACACACAGAACCCATGTGTTCACAACAGTAGAATACCTGGATAGAAACATTTTTAAAGCACTAACGGCAATATCTTGGTGGTCAGTTTTATAGATTTCACCTGGAAGTTATTTATTACATAGAACTAGTAGAAAATAGAAATGTAGATAATAGTTTTATTCTTTTACCTGAAAATAAATCATGATGAGATGCTGATTTTACTTATTTTTAATATTCTATATATAGTATAGAATGCAGGTGTAGCTATATGGATACAGACATATCTATATAGATATATAGTCTGTGACTGATATCTTTTGCAGGGCTGCTACATACCATATCTTAAACAAAGCCACCTGGAAATGCCAGGTTCTCCAGTACTAACGAACTTTTGCTCCTGGTTTTCAGTTATCAAACTAATTCACATACTAAAACATTTCAAACATTTTTATTTTCATTGACTTCTCATGAGTAGGGAAGTAATGGCCCTGGATATGTTAAGAATCCATCTGGAATGAGAGAAAACATGATTGATTTTCTAAATCGTGTGTGTATATATATATAATCACCAGTTGCTTAAAAGCAATTTGTAATGGTGTTGTTCAGTATCATAACCAAGAGGAAAATGTCTTCTTGAGATATAATGATAGTTTTAAGAGGCCATTAATTGCCACATTCTGCAAATGTGGGTGTGCTCCAGCCATGGAAAATGGCATTGGCAATTATGCCAAAGGGCATGAGGTGTACTATATAAGGAAAACAAGATTCAATTGTGAAGGCCAAAGGGAACATTAAGGAAATGGCCTCAACAGTTTAAAAGGCAATATGGTAAGTATCTTAATGTTGTACTTTTTGTATATAGTTTCTCTCAAGTGGAATTAATAAAGGAAACAATCCAGAGCTGAAACTGATATGTTATACACATGAGGTGGTGTTGAGATTTATACTATATTTTTATATACTATACTATTATAGTATATACTATATTCTGTATTGACTTGTAAAAATTTTGTGAATCATAATTAATTTGGATTTCCACACTAAGAGAAACAATGAGTTGTTTTATTTTGAACAACCCAGCATTAACCATCTCTCCAAAAGTGTAAGTTACAGACAACCAATCAATAATAGAATATTTGACAAGTTTATGTCTGACCTCACTGGTTTACAATTTATTTTTTCATTCATTCTCCTTTCATCCGTTGGTGAAAAGGCTAATAAGTGGTAGGCTAAGGGAAAGTATTTTGTCAACCAAAGATTAAATCAAGTAACCAGCTAATTGCAAGAAATTAAGACATCTTTTCTTCCATAGGGGTAGAAAGGATGTCTTCATTATGTTTTTAAAATTTTGCCTATAAAATAATTAAATGTCAAATAAAACCAATACTTTGATTATACTTAAATACATATAGAACCTAATTTTATTTATTTATTTATTCTCTTTTACCTGCAGAATTCACTTTTAATTTTATGGCAAAAATTATTCTATGGAGGATATTTAGGCTTGCCTTTAAACTAAAGGTTATTACTTTTTATCTCTCCTAGCTAAGCACCTGCATTGTCTTGATATCTTATAGTTCTTATTTTCTTTCTTTGTGTGTTGTTCTTATCCTGCTTTGGATTTTCAGTAGATATTTTCTCCCAAACTCATCGTTTAGAACTCCAGGTTAATCTTTGCTGGAATTTAATATCACTCTGGTTATGCCTTGGCTTTTTGCACAAAGTTTCTTCTTTTGGTAAAACAGTATCTTCCAAAGTGTTTATTTTGTGTTCTATTCGCATGTGACTTCTGTAGTTTTCCAGTTTTGAATGAGGTAATTTTTCCTTTTCATCCACTAAATGACTGTAAACGTATCTGTTTGTTCTTATCTACAGAATTTTCTCTGTCACACTGGGGCAGAGATCAAATCTTTGCATCTTTTTAGCAAAGACTTATTTTTTCCAGATTTCAAACACAATAAATCTTTATTTACCTCTTTGTCTTATTGCTGCCTCTTTGTTGGCTACATTTGTTTCATCAGACAAAGGATTAGAATCTTGCAGATTTGCTCCTGTTTTATTCTGGTTTTGTGAATTTTCTCTTCTGTATTGACCAAAGATTTTACCACATCAAAATTAATTTTTGATTATTTTCCTGGATACTAAAAGTATCTTCTCTTCACTCTAGATTTCACTTTTCTCTTGCAAACTCTTCACTGGTTTGTCACCACGTGCATAACCCTTGTTGAAATGGCCAAGCTATCAGATTCCTGTAAATTTACACCAGTTTTACTTCTTCCTCTGATGTTACAGTCTCTGTCTTTTGTTTCGTAGCTCCATCTTCAGAGTTTTTCTCTTGGAAACTTCACAGTATTCTTTTCATCTTTCTTTATCTGAATCTTTTTTTTTTTTTTAAGAAGATATTGGGGGTAGGAGTTTATTAATTATTTATTTTTGCTGTGTTGGGTCTTCGTTTTTCTGTGCAAGGGCTTTCTCTAGCTGTGGCAAGCAGGGGCCACTCTTCATCGCGGTGCGCGGGCCTCTCACTATCGCGGCCTCTCTTGTTGCGGAGCACGGGCTCCAGACGCGCAAGCTCAGTAGTTGTGGCTCACGGGCCTAGTTGCTCCACAGCATGTGGGATCCTCCCAGACCAGGGCTCGAACCCGTGTCCCCTGCATTAGCATGCAGGTTCTCAACCACTGCGCCACCAGGGAAGCCCTATCTGAATCTTTTCTGTTAATATAAGCAACTGAGACTTGAGTTCTGTATCAGTTCTGTATCTGTGTCTGGGATATAGGGACATTCCCTGACTCAGCTTTTCTTGAAAATCAAGCTCATATTTCTTTACATTTATCTCTCTTTGCACATTCTCTTTTGACTAGGCAAATGTTTAGTTTTTTTTAATCTTTTTTGTTTCTTAGGATAGATCTTGTTCTTTGACTATCTTGAATGTTCTTTGGCTACATGTCTTCAGTTTCAGAGGCATTAGTTTTAGCTTCATATTCACAAGGCTTACAAGAGGAGTTTTCTTGACTGAGATCTCCTGGTCCAGCCTTATTTTTGTTCACTGAATCAAACATTTCCTCAAATCCACTATAGTCCACTTCCAAACAGCATGTCTTCTGCTTCGATTCTGCCATAAGTGTTTGCATTCCAAGAAGTCTTCAACTGCATTTTTCTTTTTTCTTGATGTTTTCAATCAAGTACTGATAACTATTGTCTCCAGGTTTTCTTTTGATGTTTTATTATTTTTTTAAAATATATTATCTATTTATTTTGGCTGCACTGGGTCTTAGTTGTGGCATGCAGACTCTTAGTTGTGGCATGCATGAGAGATCTAGTTCCCTGACCAGGGATCGAACCCGCACCCCCTGTATTGGGAGCGCAGAGTCTTACCCACTGGACCACCAGGGAAGTCCCTCTTTTGGTGTTTGAAGAAAAAGTTTTGTATGGCCTTCTACATTTTCTTTTGTTTGAAAAACATGTACACTCTGTATGTTCTAATATTTTTTCTATTACTCGGTTTTCTTGAGTAGTATTTTTCACATCTAAAAACCTACAGATGTTTTGGTTTTCCTTGTAATTCCCCTGATATATCTGACTCCTTCCTAAGGGTTTCCTGTGAACAAGATTTTAAAATTTGGAGTTTCCCTAAGTATTGTAATGTCTGCCAGATTTTCTACTGCATGTGCCTCAGGAGTTTTCTTAGGTTTCTTCATGCCTGTAGAATGGAACATGCCTGTAGAATGTGAATGGAACCTGTCCATTCACATATCTGCTTTGGAGTTGTCCTGAGGTTAGTGAGAAGAGTCGCACTGTATTACAGTTTTGCAAATTGTAGAAGACCTGTCAAGTCTTCTACTTGGTTTCCCTTTTCTTTAGGAGTTTTGTCTGTTGGTGCCTGTTGGGTTTTCCATGGGTTCAGTCTTTTCCACAGAAGTTCTCAGAAATTTCTTAATTGTTGTCAGGAGTTCAGCTGATTCACCTTTCTCCCTGGGAACTGTCCCGAATATATTATTGTCTTATCTTCTGGGTCCACAATTTGCTGTGAAGTTTTCATAGGGCCGTAGGTTCCTGTTGGGTCTTCCACTGGTTCTGCCCTTTCTTTAAGCATCCTAAACAATCTTTTTTTTTTTTTTTTTTTTAAACCTGTGACGTTTTCACCTTTTCTACATTTCCACTGGGGGGATAGGGAGTTCCTGTTGCTTTCACTCTCTGGTTGTATTGCGCCTCTGGTGTTTGTGTAAACTCTTGATGCCTATCAGATAGATCTTCTTCCACGGAATCTGCATTTTCCCTCAGTTGTTCCCAGTGGTCTCCTGAATATTCTTAGATGTTCTACTGGTTCTGGTTTGTGCTTTGGAGTGTTCCTAAGCATTTTGTGAACATCACCACCATTTATTTATTCCTCTGGTTCTTCTGGTGTTTACAGGTGCTCTCTGAGAGCTGCCGGGTC